TTATTTAATTAAATAATGCACCAAAAAACATAGACTAATAACATGGAAAAAGCAGACAATTTCCCCTAACTCTCAAAATATTTCTGGCTTTATAATTATATGACAGGAGCTATTACAAATTCATACAAGCTAGTCATTAACTTTCCCATGGGAATGAAACTTGTACTCTGAGTGAATTTGACACTTATTTGTTCAGAATACAACGTTGTACAATACATCATATGACAGAGGAAAACCTTGAGTTTCTACTGGTTACAGGCAATATATAATTAAATGTAAAAGAGAAATATTAACAAAGCCTGAAAGAGAGGATATGACAGGTAGGTGTAGCAAGAGGGGTGTGATTTTCTATTTATAGCTTTGTAACCAAATAACATTGAAGACTATAAAAATTATAGTTCGTTTGAGCTATAGAAAGGGGATTTTTTTAAATATTGCCTTGTAAAATTAGGAAATTAAGACTTATATACTATTAAAATATGGATTATTAGCTACAATTTTATGCTAATTGGTATAATGTAAACAAAAAGTAGTTTAATAAAATTTTGAATGTGAGACAAAAACGTTCTGTTCACTACGGTATTTCATGGAAATTACCTTTATTGGCTTTAGGGAGTGAGGGAACTTTGCATGAAGGCCCATGGGTAGTCTGAACATCTTGAAGAGACTCACTGCTGCTCCCAGCTCCTACAGAATTTCTCTCTCCAAGATCAGTGTCACTGTCTGAAACACTGTGGAAGGGTAACAGACCAAAATTGGCTCTAATTTCATGATTGTTTTCAGAACATTCATCTGCAGCATTCTTGTGTTGCTGACCATCTTTGTAAGCGAAAGGCCTGGTTCCGAAGTTGGCTCGGACTCTAGTACTCTGAAAATGAAAGAAACCAACTTCAGAACAATAAAATTATCTCTTTAAAAATTTAAACAGAAATAATGAGTTAATAATTCAATTTTCATACTATCTGTATGGTTGCATAGAAACCTACAGCATTAGTCATTCTACCTCGAAACTCATCTAAACTTAAATAATAATATATCTTGAAAAAACATATGACAATTTTGTTATTAACACATCCATACTAAATGATAACATAAGCAATGGTTTTGTTAAAAAATGCCTCTTTCTTATAACAATTAGTTAATTTGCAAGTCAAAAGATTATACTATAATGTAATATGTATAAACAAATATGACTGTCTATATTCGTCAGCTGTAAATTAAATGCAGAAGGTAAGAAGTAAAAACCTTTTTCTGTATGTGAACAACCGGCCACATTGCTCCTGCAACATTATCCAATGTGGATGACAGACGACGACCATTGTGTGTAAAGAAAACAGTCCCCTTAGGAACCTGGCCAGCTGGAAGTTCAGTGGCTTCTCCCTGTCTCTCCCACCCACATCCTGCCACATCACCTGGGTTCAAGCTAACATCCAGACGGATACTTCTCCACTGGAGCAGACTGGAACCATTATAATGCACCACTCGTCCATTGCTAAAGCCAGAAAAGTAAGTCAGGGTGGTAATCTACACAGTGTCTCAAGTAACTTTTTATGCAATTCATATAAAATATACTGTATCAAATAATCTAGAATAATTATCTATTTAAACTGCTTCATCACAACTGGCAATGGGCTAAAAATGAAAATAATGCTATATTTCTTTTCATTCAAATGAAAACAAAAAATAAATCTTCAGATCAAAGCCTACTTGTGAAACAATATGGTTCCCACAGGATTTGTCCAAGTGCCCTCTTTTTTCTCTGCTGCAGGGGCAAAACCAAATGACACTACAGGGCCAGTATCCTCTTGGGAATCTCCAAAGGAGCAAGCCTCCAATTCCCAATAAAACGATGGTGCCTTATAATGTGTTTAAAAAAAAATATTTAAGTATTAACAGAAGTTATGGAAATTTAAACTTAAACAAAAGAAAATATAACTAATCACTTATTTATTTTTGAAGCAATTAATAACATACAAAAATAACAATAGTTTAGTCAAAACCTGAAAAAAACATGATATAGTAAAGGCTATAAGAAATAGGAAACAGTTATTTTAACCAGAGTTTAAACAAACTAGAGATGTATACATCTTATCCTTACCTCAAAATTACACTATAGAGTTACAAACAATTGAACGGTAATTTTTTTTCACATTCAAAGTATTGCTTAATAAGAAAAGTACAACATTTCTATCAAGGTGAGTACTTTCAAACTTTTTTTCCAAGTTGAAATAATAATGAAGCCTGAGCATGACTTATGGGATGTGAGAAGTAAGCAAACAATACTTCCCATGGGTTTTGGGAAAGGGATTACAGGAGACAAAATTAATTTCAAGAGGAGCAGTTATAGTTGGCTGTATGTCAAGATCAGCCAGATGATTAGAGTTGGAGTTAGCAATGTGAAAATGGTATTAAAAGACTTATATCAAATAAAGAAAGTAGACTATGCTATACGCATGGACACTTACACAGGTCAGAATTTGACCATTATTTGACAAAAAAGTCAGTGTAAGCATGTTCCCTTATAACTGGTAAACTACTGGACCAACTGTCAACAAACTTAACATGTACCCTTAAGAGTTCCCTGGGAAGTGTCATGTGGTGCAGCATTTCAACTTGACCATCCTATATCACCTTCTGGAGGACCCAATGTCTTCCATGTGTGTGCATTAAATAAGTACATTAGCTAGTCATTATAAAATATTAATCTTTGGGTTCTCTTAAATGCCCAAACCCCTGAAACAACTATCAGGTGGAAAATACAAGTCATGCTGGATCAAGTACCTGGAAGACTTGCCAAAGAGGGCAGCCTCCTATGATTAAAGGACAGAATTTAAACTGAATCAACTTAACAGTGCAGTGATTACATGGGTAAAAAATGCAAAAATAACAAAATATCTCTCATAGTATGCGAGGTGGCTCCTCAAAAATACCACCATAATAAAGTTTAAAATTGGAAAACACTAGTTAATATTTTATTGATTCATTTTAATCCTAAGTTAACAGCTTGGTATTTACACTACATGCTATTTCCACATTCACATGTCTCTCATTGTTTCTAGTCTGCCTCTATCCTTTAGATCTAAATGGACTTCCTACTGTATTCACACCTCCCCAATTGTTTGTAGTTTGTCTTCATTTTATAGGTCTAAATGAATTTCCTGCTACATTCATATTTCCCTTGTTGTTTCTAGTCTGCCTCTATCCTTTCTAACACTAGTTCACTAGTTTGATTTTTTCCTTGTGTACTTGTTATTGCAGATGTACCATTTCATCTACTTAAAATATTTTTCTGAGAGTTAAATTTGGCTTGCAAGATAACACACATTACATTTCTTAGCATTTTTTTAATGTAGTACACCTGTCTTGTTCACCAATATTGCCCTCATAGGTTCATCTGAGATGAACTGTTCATCAGGGATTTCTTTTGTCATATAAAGCCTGTCCTGAAACCAACATGTTGGATGTAAGGGAATTTCTTGGGAACTTAATTATGGTCCTTCTTTAACACAAAAACAAATTACACTGCCAATTATACAAGAAATAATTGTTTTGAGTGTTTTAAAAAAATATTATTTGAACATACACTTTACACCTTGGTTAATTCTTCTAAAAAGCTAAAGACAAACTTTTTTTTTATATTTGCCTAGAAATATCATATAATCAAGCAAGTCTCCCTACATTTTTTTATCCTATTCGAATGTTTACCATTTGCCAAGCTGTTTCATTTGAATAACTCACCTGTGGAGGAACAGGTTGGGAACCATAAACAAAAGCTCCTCTCGGTAATCCTGAACCAACACTGGGATCTCCAAGGAAAAGAATACTTGTCATACCATGACTAAATAAGCTGGAGCGAAGTGGAGGAAAAGACCTAGTGGGGTTCCATGTCATTTCCTTTGACTGTTGATAATGAATAAACGTGTTCAGATATCAATAAAACAATATTTTTTTTATAAAATTGAACATATTTTAAAATTACCTTAAAGGATTTAAAAATATTAAGGTCTAATGCTGCACCATAATTTTTTTCTAGGTAAATGAGTGGGAATTTATCAATAAAAGAAAGTCACTTTTTAAAGTTAATGTATTTCCTTCAAAGAGAGAGGGCAAGATACAGAAATAAAGATTTACAGATTTTCATATACAAATATATATAACAGAAAGTAAGGTAAACTGACAGAACAGCAATATAAACACATATCAATTCAACACAGACATGTCTCTTAACAATTACGTTTTCGAGTCTACCTGTGTTAAATATTGTAAGTATTCACAAATTATAAACAACTGCATAGTTCTTTTTTTTATCAACTACTGAGCCTTTAATTAAGTTTTATTGGTTAATATGTTATGAGAAATATGCACTAATGTTTAGAAATAACTAAACAAGGAGTACTGTATGGACAGAACTGACAGAATACAGTTTAAGACCCATTATTACTGTTTTGATTTTCCAAAATTTTGGAATCCTAAAATAATGAGTGGCACAGCATTTATCTTTTCCCAATATTTGTGTTTGCTGTAATAGCATTAAACAAATTATTTACAAAAAAATCAGTAAAAAATATTACAATAGCACACAAAATGAACATTCATTGAATTTGGTGAACCCTACCCTGCCTGTAGTTTTACTTGGGGGTGGTGAAGGTTTAGCACAGTCCAGGTACAGCATCCTGTATGATTCACACTGTTTCTCCAACAATTTTAATCTCACCCCTAAACCCAAGCACCAGAACATTAGTTAATACAATTTCTTCACAATTCACACATTTTGAAAGATAAAAAAAGAAAATTGTGCAATCAAACACAAAAATAAACATCACACTAAACCATATATTTACACCAAAGAATTCAATACTAAGCAATATATATATATTTCAACTTCGATGATATATATATAGATAAATGTAGCTTGTTTCTGGCTTGAAAAAGAGTGTTTGCTCGAAATGTTGCTAAGTAAATAAATTACTACCACAGTTTTTAAAGCTGATTTTTCTCCAAGTCTATTTCTTTATTTTATCACCTTCGAGTTTTTCTACTTATTTATTTGCTGAATTCTTACACAACCATTTAAACATCATGTCTTTTTCCAAGACAACGTACATCAGCTTTTATAATGAAATGATAAACTATCTTCATCAGTACCCCAATCAATTGTTTCATTCTGATCTCCTTCTCTACAAGACTGGCTATATTAGCAAAAACCAGGTACTGCAGCCACATATCTTTTCTCCGTATTTGTTCATCTTTAAAGTTAATCTCTTGAGGTTTTAAACTTAAATTCAACTACCTCTCTCTCTACATGATAAAGCTATGATAGAGAATAGTGAAAAAATTTTCTGTTGGTTTGATGCATGATATATTAAGGACACTTCGTTCCTCAAGCTATAGCACATAATGTTCATGAAAAAGTCTATGAATTGAATTCTCTATATTACAACTCTATATGGAATTTAAAATCCGAGAAACTTGCAAATCTTAACTTTGTATATAAAATGAGAGATTCTTATCTTCCTCAAAGTGTAAAAATCATCATACATCAGCCACGATGATCTAACAGTGAACACACCACTCATTTCTGTTGTCAAAATACCCAAGGACCTACACCTAATGGAAAGGGAGATTGCTATTCTAAAGCAAAGCCTACATTTTGTCCCCATTAACTCTTTCGACATGGGGTCGGTCAATTTGACCAAGTTGACATAAATTTAATACTTATAACTCTCTATATATTGGGTATATCTTCACGAACTTTGGCAGTCTTTCAGTTAATATTACAAGTCTTTCACATACAAAAAGTCATGTTTCTTAGTGAAGTACTTTTAATAAAATAAAATAAAGTTTTGTCCATGAATATATTGAGTATTTGTTTTGAATAGTCTGTGTGCAAAGTAATTTTCATGTTAAAATTAAAAATACTTTTGGCCATCTCAAAAATCTCAGATTTCCTTTATGTAATCCCTAAAACCTCCTAAATGCATTTCAAATGTTTTTTTTTTCACTAAATCCTTATAGTTTATATGTTATTTTCTCTACCCTAATCTAAAAACAGGATCGGTCAATTTGACCAACCTTGTAACAACCAAAAAAAATCTAAATAAACCTAAATTAATCTTCTTTTCTTTCTAGTATGACTCCAAATTGTAACATGAAACTACATTTGTTTATCCTAAGTAGTTCTAAGTTTGTAACATTATACATCTATTTATAATTAAATTTTATTGTTTTATTGCCCTTTGAACTTTGTTTACCTGCTATCCGCACCATTATAAGTTGTTAATCACTCAGGGAATGTGCAGCTCACGTTATGCTATCAAATTACATTACCCACGAGCCATTCATAAACAATTTTAATTATATTATTATTATTAC